TTGCAGAGCTAATCAAGAACATTCATAGCTCTTATAGCTCATTTATTTGTAGCAATCATTACAGGTTGTGTTACAACAGTTATTAATTACGTGTAGCAGTTGGAGCTACATCCCCATGGAAAAACGCTTTTCGTAACTGTAAGGGTCACAATTTTTATGATACTAATAGATATAAATTAATCAGATTATTAATCAGTTACTTGATTATTTACTCTTGTTAATAACCAATTAAAGCATTTAAGTAGCATTTTTTATGAAGAGAGATATAAGTGTTGCCCCTAAAAATTAAGCACTAAACTTCTTTCAAATTAATTTCTTAAACATGACTGAAAAGAAAAGTTAAATATGAAGATTCTAGGATAATTAAGCTAAATAGATTTGCATTTTACGAATGTTCAGCAATAACATAAATAACTTCTCAATAACGGCTCAAAACATTTTTATTTTTGAAAATGGAAGAAAGATTAGTTTTGTAGAAATGCTATCAAGCGCACTCTATAACAACCAACGCACTAAATATTAGTAACGTATTAAGACGTATCTACGATGTTTTAATAAACACAATCTCACGTACAAATTCAAAGATGTATTTAATTTCTTAATAGGGACATTTGAGGTGTAAGATTGGGAAGACTAAGAAGAACCCGCTCTCCTAATGTCAAATTCTTGGCAGGAAATACATTGAATCGTTTAGGAACGAGAAGACCTAGTTTATTGTAGGGAATTCTACTGTTACAAATTTGATTTTTCTCATTTATTACGATTTGCGTAATTAAATTGACCAAGCCATGAATCCCTTGGACTCGTATTTTGACTTTTCTAAATTTGATCATTGAAAGGCTAAAATACAATCACCAGTTGTGTATATTTTGTCTAATTTTTGCGTATTTTAGTTTTATTTTCAAGGTTTACATGTATTATATATTTATAAAAATATATTACATAGTTTTAAGGTTTATTATCTTCAAGCATGTATCGTTAATCAGAAATTCGACAAAATAAGAAAATTACTTTCATAACGATTCATAAAGTCTTTAAGTAAAGTTAACCTAGTTGATAACATCGGCATAAAATTTAATATTTCTTATCATCCTGTTTAAACCTCGATAGTACTTCACCAGATGGATACAATTATAAAAGAGTAAAACGTTTTCAATTTCCTAGATAAATGCTCTACTGAAGAAAGAGAAAGATTTTTTTTAAGTTTTGACTTTAAATTTAAGATTTACAGAACCGATTGCCACGTTGGCTTAAAATACCTACTTTGTATGGTTGTAATTTCAATGAAAAGTATTATAAGAGGTTTTAAGTCAAAGCCTATTTCAATCAACCTTAATCACTCAAAATTAACCTTAGACTTGCATTGTTAATTTGTATTACTGTTAGTTATTAACGGTGTATTATTTTGTTTGTAAAATGCACAGTATTCTAAAAACTACATGTTCTATAGGCAAGTCTATAATGGATTACAAAGTAAACTATTAAATAATTTTCAATTATTTATAAAAGCTTTAAACATAAGTGCTAGTACCGTCAGACTCTTAAACACACTTATAAAGATATTCTTTGGCAAAATAAGGTCATAATAACTAATAGGTAAAATATCATTTTTACAGAAAATAAAATATACCATACAGTTAATGTAATTTTAATTTTAAGTACTTCAATTTGAGTTAGAATTAAGATTAAGTTTTCTGTTTAGGAATTATAAACATTAAAGGAAGGTGTCAATTCTTGGACCTTCATAGGCATGCTGAATATTTATCTCATCCATCTCACACCAAAGTACAATACACTAAATACTATGCTATATAGCAGCACGCCTGACCCGTATAGAAAATGTAAAAATAAGGTATATTTTGATCAGTCACACAGGTAATAATGTAAGTTTAAATCAAAACTGAATCCCCCATCTTGGCAGAGCAAAACCTTTATACACACGTAAAATACAATGAGTTTTCCGCTCGTTGAAATGTATGTTGGCAACTACTACTGTGATTATTCTTCCTGAGTTTTGCACTGCATGTAATCTTTGCTTCACGCAAAAAGCATAGAATGAATCTGAAGTGGTTGCAATAATGTATTGCAATATAAATTAGAACGCCAGATGTTACCTGAACAAGAACCAAGCTCAGTTACAGTCACAGTTTCAGTTACGCCTTTTTTTTTTTGGACCAGTTGTGTCGTCTGGTTGTTGTTTCTTGTAATGGTTTGTGAGGTCTTCTTATATAACAGTTACCTGTCTCTTATTTAAATGATACAGATATATTTCAATGATTACTTTATTTTGTGTGCCTGTTGATATCAATATTGTACTGTATGCAAAAGTACAATTTCGGATATGTCCACACGTGTATAATCAAATATAAAATATAAATCAAATGTTTTATTATATTAACAATAACAAATAGGTAAGTTTTATTTCACAGGAACTAAGGAATAGAGACAAGGAAAGTAAATATAAAATAGTGAGTCGGTGGCTCAGTCGGTAGCGTCGCGGACTTCGGGCCCAAGGCAGCGATGTCGTGGGTTCGGATCCTGGTCACTGCCGATAACATTTTATCAGTACAGTTCACCTTTGTACTGTACCGGCTCACTCCTTGCTTTGCTGTAAACGATCCTCGCACGGGCGCTTAGTCTATGTGGCCGGGCAAATGCAAGGTAAAAGAGGCCGCCAACCTCTTGAAAAAAAAAAAAAAAAAAATCATAAGGAAGTGAGTTTAATAATATAAACAGTAATAAATTTGCACATTACTTGCCTAACTATTTAGTTGGCTAACTGTTAACAATTGAATTATGTTGACCATTACTATTACTTGTTCTTGCATTGTTATATATTTACGCATTAATTCAATGCAGTAGCCAGTAGTTGATACATTTTTAATATTGCTGTTCTTGCCAATAAAAAGTGGGTTTTGCCAAAAAATAAGGCTGTAGAGGTATGTCTTTATGTTTATTATTATATTTCACACAGTAATCTGGGTTCAGCCCAAATTCCACGTCTCTATCTGAACCTGGACAAACCTATGATTTACAAAACTACACTATCTATTGCCTTGAATTATAGAACCATTAAGCAAACAATCAATTTCGTCCTACAACCCATCCCCACATACTAAGTGGTCTATGTTTACTTAGGCACAAGGGTCATGTATAGGAGTATCGACTAAGATGTGGACAATAAACAAGCTTGCTACCTCATCCACTTAAGGGGGGCCGAGGGGGCTGGTTGTTTAGGGGGGGGTGTAAATTCTTAACATGTAGCTGCCCAACCTGACCCTCTTTATGTATGCATTGGTACTGTAACTTACCCTTGTTTTCCTAGCAGTATAACCACAGACAATAAGGGCTTAAAAGTATAAAGGATGTTGTAAAGTATCGTTTTGCTTTCTTAATTATCATAGTTATGTGATGGTACTCAGATACTCCTACGTCAAGATTATGAGCATGTTTTTTTTCTTGCAATTTTATAGTGTAGAAAATATATAAATAGTCAATTTTTTATATAAAAAAAAACTTATTTTAATAGGTTTGTGAATAATAGGTACGTATTTTGAGATCAGGCCCAATAATGGAAGTTTATAGTTTGTCAAGCTTCTGAACATATAATTAATCGTTTAGGAACAGTTTTGTCAGAGCTGTAATCGTAATCAGAGATACACAACATGTTGATATTGTGTTGCCTACTGAGAAAATACATACATTGGAAACATGAATAGGCTTACTTGAGATTGGCTTGGCTAATTTTAGAATCAAATTATCCAGTATTATGGTACATATTATTTCATGGATTCATGTAAAGTATTAGGAAAAAATTTAAACTTTATTAACTTTGAACACCTCTTTGGCAAAACTAAAATTTTACTGTAATGTCAAAACCAGTATTAGCAGCAAATGGAGTAACATAAAGTGTTTTAATAGAAGTAACATTAGGTGCAAGCATTCCAACCGTGCCACCATAAAACAGTTAAAGCTTGAAAACAATAAACATCAAAATAAATTAGGAATACAAATGACTCACAAATAAGCCCAGTTACCAAATGAATTCACCCCGAAAAAGAATAAGACGAAACAGAATAAAAAATAGAATTTTAACAAGACATCAAATAACATAAGTAACAAAAGACAAGCTGGCATCGCTTGCGGAAGTTTCCTGGTTCGTTGTCAGCTTGAGAAATGATCCTTATTGTCATGGATGTTTCTTTGTCTGCCTCGACGAATCTAATAATACTCAAGTGACGCAATTCTCTGCACTTCTTCATTTTCATTTGTTAGTACACTGTTTACTAGAAAAAGGTGTTTGCTAACATGAATGTTAGAAATATATTAGAGATTTTTTTTATTATTTCAATCAGAAGTGTTAAGTGTTAAGTAACAGGTTTAGTGTTCTTTTTTCATACAACTAAATTAAGTAAAATAGTTTATTAACCGTCGTTTTATACGTCTTTATAATATCCTGCAAAACACAAAGGCCAGCGGGTTTGTTATGTTTGTTTGGATAAACATTTTACCTAACCAAGTCGGTCCTCCTAAGACGGACAATCGCAACCAAAATTAAGTTGGCCATACCAAGCCGGTATTTTATAGAGAACCCAGTGAATTGAAGCAGAGCAATTGAGTAAATGTCATTGTTGACTCTACTACTTGTTGTCTATTACCTTCGATCAACATTTAAGCTCATCTTGTTACTGACTTAGCTTGTACATATAAAATAGTTAAGGATTTTCTTTCCCAAATAAAATCCTCTGTTCTTGTGCTGAGTACAAACTGACCATTAGATGGAGGCTATTTCTACAATTATTTTAGCGCTATTTATTGTACATAAATGAACCAGCTGATCAGTCACTAACAAAGCTACACAAGACAATTCACATTCAATTTCACACCATTGTACACTCATATTTTGGATAAAATACGCATCCAGGTGGCGTCCCCATCTCAATAGATGATAATTGATAGCACATGATACTTCAGTACACTGATACAGTTTGACCTTGCAGGTGACAGAGGTCACTAGAGCCACGATGGAGTCGTGTCAGTCGCTGCTCCAATTCGCCAGGATCCTGCCCAGGGAGGACTACGCGCCAGAATATGCCTTCGAAGAATGCAGCCTTTGTCAAGCAATGCAACTCGAGCTCACTGGACCTCCCAAGCTCGCCCTCAGAGCTCGGGTGAGTTTTTTAAGTGAAAAGTGAAATAATGATTTTAAAGTCATATCAAATGTGCCAAAGTGAAATTAGGTTGTGCGACGTGGTCAAAGGTGATTTAGGTTTGGGAAAGACGTGGTGAGAAGTGAGGTTGAGTTAGGACACTTAATTAAATCGAGATTAGGTTTGGGTCCTTGATTAAATTGAGGTTACATTTAGAGTCGTGGTTAAATTGAGTCTTTAGTCGATCACCCGATTAAATTGAGGTTAGGAACAACATCTGATTAAATGGAGGGTAGATTAAGGTCACAGAGCAAAATTTAAGTTAAGTTTCGGAAGTAGTTTAGGTTAGGTTTAGACGTTAGGTAAACATTGAGGTAATCTTACAAAATAAATAGGCATGATCTAATGTTAAATAAATTATTTCTGGGCTTAAAATTTGCGCATCTCGTTATTTTAGCCACCAATGGCATTGTCTTGCCAACAAAAGGGATATTATCCGCTGCCAATATTAAATGTTTGCAATAGTTCGAATATAGCATTTATTTATTTATTTATTTATCATTTCAACGGCTGCCGCCAATACATAGATGATTGATAGAGATAATTTAAAGGAACTAACAAGATGCAATGTGATACAATTCAGAACAGTAACAAGCTACGAGAAAACAATAAATACAACAATAAATAAAAAACAACAATAAATAACAACCATACATTGTTAGAAGAACATGATTCTGATGTGGGACAGAGAAAATAATAGCTAAGCGAGAACATGAGACTGCTAGTCTCATAAAGTATATATTTTATGGTCTAAAGGAAAAATAAAATCACTTTGTTACTTTTAAATATTAAAGCCACTTTAGTGCAAAAGGTCCAATATACTATGCACAAATCGACTATGATTGAAAGCCTTTTTTAAACACTAATAAAATAACATCTAATCATACCAACTGTTTTTCAAAAGCCATTGTAAAAGGAGAGTCTGTAGTAGAGTTAGAGGAAAAAATGTCATTATTAAGAACATAACACTATAATCGCATGTAATCACCACAATGATGACATATTTTAGTTGTTAAAGTAGTTAGCCTACATCCTAGGAGCTAAAAACGTTTCATGGATGGCCTTTTAGCATTTTTTATGGTGAGAACTAGTGGAAACTGTGTTGTCTGTTCGTGCTAAGAAAACTTTATGCAAAATTAGGTTTTTACTTTGTATCGTAAAACCACTGACTGAAAATACTTGGTGGCGTACTACGAGGAAAATTCTAGAAACATAAACATCATATTTCATACTTCGTTTATACTGTATATTAAAAAGTGTTGAATTCATTTTTATTTCGCAAATATTAAAGAATTGAAGCAAATACGTAGTTGGCTAAGTAACTAAATATCTAATCTAAATCTTAATGTATCTAAATATCTCAATCGTTACTTCGAAAACTGTGAAAGTTTTAGCCTTTAAAATGTTTTCCTTATACACAGATTTTTTACGTCAAATATTTTGAGTGCAGAGTGGAGTTAATTACGATTCTCTAACACTGGCTCTTATCCAAGAAACGACAAAGACTTATTGTTTTATTCAAGGATCACTTAGCATTGCGGTGGGTAATGAGTCATTATACACATTATCGTTTCAGGAATATTCGTTGGTCGATTTTACTTGGATTGACAATCAAGATGGTGAAATAATCATTAACTTTGGAAAATACAAGTTTACTTATTCTATTGTAAAATCTAATATTTGCATGTTTTGATGTTTGTTTTACGTCTGATTGCGTATATATATTTTTAAGGCTAGAGGGTTGCGGCCTTTTAGGATAGGAAAAACCCATTTGTGTTTGGAGTAATTTGAACCTGGGGTCTAGGGAACCGAAACCTCGCGCTCTACATTATGTGACTACAATTAAAGTGACTACATTATGTGCGTTAGTTATGTGACTACTATAAATGTTAAGTTATAAGTTATGGTCTACCATATCTAGATCATCTAACACATGCCAGAAGACAACAAGTGGTTTATAATTAATTTGTTTTTGTTAGGACAGTACATATTATAGTTATTACAACACCCTGAAAATATAGAAAAGACAAGATCCAAAATAGTGAATGATACCGGATATAAGTATTCAAAACTCTTGGAATCTACATACCTATATAATGTATATATGCATATGATATTTCAAAATAATATATTTTCTCTTGAGCTTATACAGTTACTGATATGCAATGGGAGTATATTTTACCCATGGTGTGGTGTGATGCTTCCCAGCGTAAATTAAGGCACATTAACCTTAGCCTGAGTAGCTTGGTGGCAATAGTAATCGCCTTCAATATGAAGGTCTTTGGTTCGATTCCAAGCGGAATCATTTGTGGATCCAAATGCCTTTTGCAATTTGATAATCATCAAGAAAAGCGATTTAACAAAGTGTTGAAGTTGGATTGTAACAAGACTAGAGTTTTGACAGTTCCCTTAAGAAAAAAAACGAAAAGAAATGTCAGTGATGTTAAAAAAAATAATTAAACTTTTTGCACTTTAAAAGATTAAAGTATGATTTTACTATAAGCTTACTAATGCAAATAATACAGCAATAACATCTAGCTTAATTATCTTACTAAATAACATAATTCATTTAGATACAATATTCCTTACCTTTATCAAAGTGTTTTATGTCTGGAATCGAGGTGGTCTAGAAGTAGAGCACGAGGCTTCGGTCACATAGTCCCGAGTTTGAATCCCGCTAATTACCAATCATTCATATTCTTCATCATTCTTATTGTTATCTTTTCTAAGTTAGTCTTATGTGCCATTTTGTTGTATAAATTTTCTTAACTTAAACTTTAATGTTTATTTATTAAATTATGTATTTATTTATAGTTTTTCTTAGTTCTTTCAATGTCCAAGTCTTCGCATGTACACACTTATTCTTATTTTATTGCTTCTTGTTACTCTAGTTATTTTCAGTATTTATTCTCGACTATGTCCATTACATAGGCTATTTAGTCATAATGAGCTTCTTACAATGTTACTCAACTGTAAACATTTGTGAAATCCGTTGGCAATAAATAAATAAATAATGAATGTTTTATAAACAGCTAATTAATTATCCTTTGCATAATTTCCTACTGCCAAAATGGCCACTCGTTATGTTCAGGCTTTATCCCATGCTTTCTGTCTGCTCGCTTTAAATTTAAACGGTCCACAAAAACCAACCCTCATTTAGACTTAACGGATCATATGGCTCCAAGAATGACCTTCGTTCTACAGTATTACAGTGTTAGAGGGTTATTAGTGCGTTAGTACGGTACTTCTGCTTTGCTTAAAAAATTGACATGCCATGTTAAAGAATACGTCAACCTTATTGATTGGTTTTTGCAAGTTTTAACTAACGTAGTTTTTAGATTTCAGGGAACACAGCCATGTCTGGTTCTAATTAAATTTTTGGGTGATTAAAACGATATGATAGAGACCAGTGTATAGTTCAAAAACGCGTTTTATTTACGTAAGATTGTAATTTTATGAGAATTTAACTTATGAATTGTCACTGGACTGGTTAACACATGGTTTAATTTAACTCATAAAAACTTATTTACTTTTAACCGTTGAATATGTTTACTAGTTTACGATATTTTTCTCTACTAACCAGAAGTATGTTACCTATGTATTACTATTTACCTGCTTATCCGTTTCTTGTATCGTAACGTAGGCTTATTAATGACTAAATAACTGGTTAACACATGGTTTAATTTAACTCATAAAAACTTATTTACTTTTAACCGTTGAATATGTTTACTAGTTTACGATATTTTTCTCTACTAACCAGAAGTATGTTACCTATGTATTACTATTTACCTGCTTATCCGTTTCTTGTATCGTAACGTAGGCTTATTAATGACTAAATAACTGAATAATGAAGATGGTGTTTTTATTAAATTTTTTCGTCCACAATTATTATTTTTATGGCTTTTGTGTAATATTTTCTAGTAAAATTTCGTAATATCCTAAAAGGAGGATGTATGTAAGACTGAAGACTTTTTCACAGCTAAGGCAATTATTTTATTTCTATTTAAAAATCCATAAGCCTTGTTTTAATTTTTGGGCTTTAAATGAGTTTAGCATTTCTTAATGCGAGTTTACTGAGGTAATTGTTTTCACCAATCCATTGTTCTGCCCTAAAACAGTATATCATCAATATTTCACATATGGAAAAATTCCTCATGCTAAATTACTAGAAGATACATTTTGCAAGCATATGTATATCGTGCAACTGTCGTAATTGCATTACTCTATTGAACTGTACAAATGTAACATGTGCTGCTAATACATACTTTGATTGTGATTTAACGTAAACTAAGTCAACAGGATGCATCATTTCTATTTCAATCGGGAATAACACGTTAACATTAAACAAAACATAACAGAGAGGCTTTTCTCGACGATTTACTTTTTTACATCTGGTAAAGGCCAACATTAATTTTGAAGAAAACATGTATTTTCAAAAGACAGAACATTTTAAAGGTGAATTAAACGTGGGAAGCACGTTTACATTATACGTATAAATGGCGGTGTGGTTTTCCACACAGTTTAAACCTGCAATGATAGATACAATTAATCTCTCCATTCAGCTTACTTTAATTAAAGTAGTCCTCCCTTCTTTTCTACACTCTTAGTCCACCCATGTACCATTCTTGTGCTAAATTTTGCCATAAAAACACCAGCGTGTTGATTGGGATTTTGTTAATTTTCATAAAAAAAAAATTTTAAGCCAACCATTTTTTTAACTTTGATATCAAATTTCACGTTTAATAAGTAATAAGTAAGCCATTATGATATTACTGTATTTCTGAAATGACGTACATTCAAGCCAAAAGTACCCAAAAATAACTAAAACTTATTTAACAATTAAGTACATTCTCGAATTGGACTCGGAACTTTGGATATCACGCTACTGGACTTGAGGGCAATATCCGGTCACGTGATCTAGCAGTTCTGACCTCCGGTTCCGCAATGTCCATCAAACCGGA